CTAGTAAAAGGTTAAAAATGGTTCATATTCTTCTTTACTGTCAGCATTAGATTCTACATCAAGGGGAGTTGGACCTTTTACATCAAGAGGAGTTGAGCCGGAAGATATTCTTGACCTGGCCATAGAGGATGACTCAGCTACAGGTGTATTGGACATAGTTTTTTTTTTTTTTAAAAAAAAAAAAAAAAAAAAGCACTCGTTATTTAAGTCTGCAAGTAATTGTGATTATTCGTATCTGTTTGTCATCTAGAAGTTGTTTCGCATTAGCTTAATACAAATAACTCAGTTTAACTTTTAGCGACCATAACAAATATTTAGTTATGTAGAAAATGAATTTTGTCGTGCAATAGATGATAAACGATTATCAAAGTTAAACAAATGCACAATTTTGGATTTAGGTGCATAACAATAGCGATAGAAGTAGAAGATACTATGAACGACAGGTATGATCGGCATATGGCATGCTTCGATTCCAGCTTATAAATAGGGGGATCGAAGCTTAGTAACATTTTACGCAATCGTCCAAAAATAGGTTATAAAAAATTTTAGCGTACAAATTTGTACGCTATACGGTTTAAGGGATAAATGTTGATTATGTCAGCTTAAATAATCATTATTAACATTATAAAAAATCACGTTTATATAAGTACATACGTATATCCATTCGCTCACCGAAATAATGTCAACTCTTAAGATTACGTCGCATATATTTCCGGCTTCTTTAGAGCGTAAAGTGCCAGGACAGGGTGGTCGTCTCCGAATCGCTGCAAATTCTTATGTGACAACGGACATAGATACAAAAAACAACAATGACAAAATATCTCTTGTATTTGCACATGCTACAGGATTTCATAAAGAATTATGGATTCCTGTCATAAAAAAATTACATGAACAAAGACATCGATGGAACGGTGGTGATATCTGGACCTTGGATTGTTCGAATCATGGTGATAGTGCGTTATTAAATAAAGATGTTTTGCCTAATAGTTGTAAGTCCTAGATTTGTTTATCGTGATTTATTTTTATTACCATTGAAATTTAATTGGACCATTAAATTTAGTCCAATGGCCCGACTTTTCTCGCGATATTCTTCAACTTATCGATGAGGCAAAAATTAAAAAACCAATTATTGGTATAGGGCATTCATTTGGTGGAGCTTCCATGTGAGAAGTTTTCTTATATTAATACTGTAATAATGTTCTCAAACTGACTTTTAAATGACCAAAATGATTGTACAAAATTTTCTTCACTATTATTAATGTGATGAATTAACTAGGTTATTTGAAAACATTGATATACTTTTTCACAGTTTTATACTTACAGATCACGTGATTATTTTAGTTTAATGGCAGAAACTATTCGTCCTGGTACTTTCGCTAGTATTCTTGCCATTGAGCCTATATGTAATCCTATGTTCATTAAAGGATTTAGACTGGATAACACAACTGTTAAAAAAAGAAGAGACAGATGGCCGGATAGGTAAGAATGAATGCTTATATTTTAAGATACAAAAATCTAAAAGGATTTTTTTCATAAACTTTTAATAGAGAAACAGCACACGCTGGTTTTAGTACGAACCCATTTTTTCAATGTTGGGACCCTGAAACGCTTAATCTTTATGTTGTAAGTAATAACCACTTTATTATTTATTTATTTATTAATCATAATTATTATTAATATTTATTTATTTATTTATTAATCATAATTATTATTAATATTTATTCATTTATTAATTATAATTATTTATTCATTATATTTATTCATTTATTAATTATAATTATTTTTTCATTATATTTATTCATTATATTTATTCATGATATACATACTCGTTCTTAATTTAAAAATTCAAATTAATGATTTATGAATCATAATATAGCAATATGGATTATATGAATTGCCATCCGGAGAAGTTACATTAAAATGTTCTAAAACTCAAGAATTTGTATGTTCTTTATTTTTTTTTTCATTTTAGCATAATTCAAGATTTATCTCTTTCTAATTTGCGACATTAGTATACATTTTTTCACGAACCGGCATCAAAAGTCTCAACATTTCATCAACTACCGAAAATTCAATGTCCCATTCTATTTGTTGTTGGTAGTAAATCGACTTACGAGTAAGCATTGCTTGTGTTAATTTTAATCAGTCAGTGTCATACAATTCATAATACGGTTTTCTCTTCACAGTAGTAAAGATGTGGCTCTTCTTAGAGCAACACAATGTCAAAATGGTGAGATTATATGTGTGGATACTGGTCATTTGGTTAGTTGACCTATTTTTCCTCCTAAATGCATCGTCATAATTTTAAATTTTATTCAAAAAACTTTTATATAATATATAGGTGCCAATGGAAAAACCTGTACTAACTGGTAAGCCACTCAAATTATTAATGTCATATAAATTTTTTACGTACTACTGTATCACTCATTATTATATCCACAGCGGACATTATTGAATATTTCGCACGTAAATTGTCGAGAAATAACAGTAAGTTACATAAGAAATTATCTGAAGACATAAATGTACACCCAGTTTTGGCCATGTTATAATTAGAAATTATATCTTATAAGTACTTTTTACTTGATTTACGTTTATATGAATTTATGAATTTTGTTTTTCATTAAAACATCAAAAATTAAAAGATAATAAATGATGTAAAACTATTACAATGTTAAATTTTTGTTATTTAATGCCAAAATTATAAAAAAAGACAAAAAAAAAGAAAGATTAGTTATCCTCGCGCGTGCAATGTAATGCTTTCCGTATAAAAAAAAACTTATTTTGCACCCGTGATGGTTTTTGTACGCATCAAACAACGGTCAGTATTAGAAGAATCGGGCGAACATGATGGGTTCTCAAGGACGAACTCGGCCTTGTTCGAATGTTTCATTGATTATTCCCTCTAGTTTAAAATCACTGAGACTTAGCAGCCTCCCTCTCTCTCTCTCTCTTTCTTAAAGCTCGTTTTCTAATATCTTTTTGTTGACCTTTTTGAACAGAATAAAACAATAAGTTGATATAATTTTATGATTCAAATACCCAAATACCCAAATATAAGCGTACATGTGAAACAATGATTATCAATACATACCAAGAGTATAATTTACCCAGAAACTCCAACTAAGTGTATTAGTAATTAACCAGTTAACCAATGCATGAGAAGGATATGTATTAGAATTGAAAGGATAATAGGATGCTCCTCCAGGAATTCCAATCTTAGATAATACTGATTTGACATATGGTCCTGGTAATGGGATTAGTAAAGATGGTTTCCGAATTTTTGACATGGCCGATACCTTATAAAAAAGCAATTGTTTTTGCAGCCAAAGATAATAGAATAAAAATATAACCGAGAAGTGAAAAGTGAGAATTGAGATAATTAAGAATTAAATTTGCGAATAATTTAATTTAAAAAAACATACCACAAAATAAGTATTAACATTTTCAACCAGGATCCCTTTTGAATTAAGTTCTGCTCCTATCGCCTGTGACCACGCATTCATAAAAGCCTTTGAACCGGAATATACCGATAAGTATGGTGTTGGAATCGTTCCAGAAAATGATCCGACATTAATAATAAGTCCTCGATTTCTATTTGAATGGAAAATAATTAAAAAAATTCGGGGGTTTTTTTTGAAAGGTTAAAAATATAAATTAATTGAGAAAACAAACTTTGGAAGCATTTTTGATAATGCAATCTTGGTAACTTTTAAAAGTCCTGCAATATTAACTTCAACAATATTGTGAATAATTTCGTCATCCTCAAGATAAAATGGTGTTGGAATTTCATGATTTGTAGCAACATTATTAACTAATACTCCAACATCAAGTTCTTCAATTATATCCCTTAAATTTGAATAGTCCATTCTATCACCCTTGGTAAAATCCATTGCATACATTCTTGTATCAACTTTATATTTTGATTCTAAAAGTTTTCCATTATTAATAGTATATAGCTTTTGAGGGAAACAAAGATAACTTAACGTGAAGTAAGAAAATAAAATAAGTACAGTCAGATCTCTCTAAATGCATTATGACAAGACCATGTGTAAAAATTTGGTCAAGTATACTTTTAGAGAGGTATTGCATTTATGGAGGTAAAAATCTATAACCCAAGCGAAGACTTGCATTTAGGAGACCTTTCATAGGGCGTACATTTAGAGGGGCCTGACTGTAAATAAATACTAACCGATCTCATCTCTCAAAGCTTTTAATTTAGATGCAGTACGAGAAACCATAAGAATATTAAATTTAGCAGCGGCTAGCTGCATAGCATATTCTCTTCCAATACCGTCCGACGCGCCGGTAACAACTATTACAAAAAAAAAAAAGGTCCATTCATTTTTTAATATTATAACTAAAAAAATTTGTGCAAGAAATGAGAAACTCACCAGCCCAAGCACCTTGCCCGGCACCAAATTCCTTGAGCTATAAATATAAATATGTATGAAATAACGCATAAATAACACATAGTATGAAATAATGAGAACTCGGTTAACAATCTTAACCTATTGAAATTATAATATAACTATAGTATAAAATTTTACAATTTACAACTGAGTATCACGTTATTATCTTATCCAAAAAAAAAAAGTCCGATACTCAGTTTGTACGCGTTGCTGTTACGAAAAAAGTTAAAATATTAATACATACGTCCTTTCCAGGTAAAACAAAAACATCGACTATTAACTTTAAAAAGCTTAGAGTTTTTGATAAAATGAAGAGGGCTCCGATAATAGTGAAAACGGCAACGGCCGCCGTAATAATTTGACTTTCTGGTTAAAGTACAATAGAAAACATTCATTTTATATAAAATGGCCAAATAACACTTGAAATAACACTTGGAAAGTTAAACTTTATAATATCCACACAACGTTCGAACTTACCCTGAAGTAACTGAAGAAATGAGTTGTTAAGTGTCATTTTGGCAGAATGTAAGAAACAAAATTTCGGTCAACGTTATTTAATATATATATTGAGATATAACGATAATCAACAGATCATTCCCTAATCTCACGGTATTATTCTAATTACATGAGAAATCGCGTGATATGACTTTTGATTACAACAGATTGACAGGAATTCTTTTATTCAAATCATTTTAAACAATATACAGTATATTGTCAATAGTCAAAAATGGTTATAAATCAGACGGAGTAAAGTTATTAGTAGATTCCGGTATATGTAAATGCTTTCTTTTAGCATTAAACTGTTCGTTGGTTGAGTTTGTTTTAATGGTAAACGTTTCCGCCTTTTTGGAAGAAATATCTTTTGTTTTTTCGTCTTTAAGGGCACCTTCTAATAACGTTTGTCTGCATAAAATACTTGTGTAAATAAAAATAAAAATTTATAAAAAAAAAAAAACAAAAAACCATCAAATATTTGTAAAATGAACCTCATGTCTATCCATGCTTGTACAATATTTTCAGTATCAGGGCTTTTGAATAATTGCGATTCCGATATGTTCGTTCGACAAACTGGACAAACTTGTTCTATGTTCAAACACCGTCGAATACAAAGGGAACAATACACGTGCCCACAGTCAGCAATCATTGGTGTATTAAAAAAGTCCTTGCATATTGAACAACGCGGAAGAGTGTCAATAAGTTTAAGTGACGCTTGAGGAAAGTCACTTGGATCTGAAATTGATGATAGATCAAAAGAACCGTCGTCTGACATTATACGTTTTGACTAGGGATGAAAAAAAAAAAAAAATGAAAATCTAAAAAAAAAAATCCGAACCTTATAAATTGGTCAAACACATCACAACGTAAATATAATTAGGAAATTTGACATCCGATAAAATTCCGTGTAATTCAAGTTGCTGCGGCTTACTAAATATCTTATTCTAACGCTAATACATCCAAATAGTCATTGGATGCGATACAGCCAATGACTAGAGCTCACATGACAAATGTATCATGTTCAAATAAATGTATCGATATTGCTTATTCGAGCAAGCTTTTTATGTGAATAAATGTATTGGTATGCCTATTCGAACAAGATCTTTTATGTAAATAGGTATGTTTTGTTTATTTGAACAAGATCTTTTTATTCACATTATTCGCTGAATAATTATAATAATTATTCATTTGAATGTTCTCCGGATACAATATGTTTCTAGGCAGCCCAACAAACTAACAATATATTTTAAAAATAATAATCATCTATATTAAAGTTTGGGTTTCAAACTGACTTTAAATCTTATCCCTGGAAGGATAATTTGAA